CCCTTTGCCTTGTATCACTTTCTGGATGAAATTTTGCATATACTGGTCTTGAGTGGATTCAAGGGGCACACCAAAGAAAGACCTGAGAATGGTAGGAGGTGGTTAGTCTTATACAGGGGAGGGTCACATCAGGGAGAGACATGACACAAATACGAGAGACTGAAAGGGTTTGAAGGACTTTGAAAGCTACCACCGGCTCCAGGTGGAAGAGGGGGATCATTTAGCAAGCCACGTGAATAAGTTGTTTTCTAAGATGCGTTTTTCTCTGTACTGCTGTTCATTCTGAGTAAGTCCTTTGCTTGGTGAAGGCTGGCTGGACCCTGGTAACCCAGTCCTACCCCCAGCAAGAGAACAGGAGTGGAGGTGCTGCACTAAGTTCACGCTTGCTAAGATGAGCAGCAGGAGGAATTGTAGACAAAATGGTCAGCCTGGAGGGAGGGAGAGAGACTGTTCCTGTCTCACTGGCCTGAGATCTGAGTGGGATACCCCTCCAGCAAGCCAGGAAGGGCTCCGAGGTGCAGTAATTGTAGGAACTGGGCACCTGCAAGAGGTGTGCCCCAGAGCCTTGTGCACATGACAGGAACTGCCACATTCAGAGGTTTCTATGACCCGTTCCAAAAAACACACAAGAATCCTGACTAGCGTTTGGAAAAGCGGTGCTGGCAGGATGTTGTTGTGTTATTTGTGGTCTCTTGGGACCTACACGCAATCATCCTGGCCTAGGATCCATCGGTGCGTGATGATGCCCAAATACAGACCATAGACAGTCCCTGCCCAAAGAGCAGGTAGCATACAATGCAGTAGAGGCCAAGTCTCAAAGCTGTTCCAAGCTTTTTGGAAATCCACTTCCATAGCACAGGATGGATGTGAGGGCAAGGCTCCGGGTTGGGATTCAGGAATTCTAGTTCCATTTCCAGCTCTTCCAGTCACTCCTTTGTGACCTTGGGCAAGTTCCTTATCTGTTCTGTGCCTTAGTTTCCCCGGTAATAATGCCCTATTGCCTCACAGGCTTCCTGCTCGAAGAATAGCAGCCCTTCGCTTTTCTTCCGTATGTAAATGTAAAAAATGTTCTCTGTTTCATTTTCCTCCGACATGTTTCTGATCATTCCTGACACAGGAAATCTCTGTTGAAACAGTGCAGTTCTAACGAGCTGGGAGACAGAGACACTTCCCCCCACTCACTCTGCCTTTTCAAATGCCTTTGCTGATTAGCTCCAGGCACGTTTGAGCGTCTGCTCAGGCTGCAGCTGAGGAAACTTGCTTGGTTTCATACTGAAGTGAAAGTTGCACCAGCTGCAATTTCTCCATCTCCATTCCAGCCAAACAATAGCTGAAATGTAGCCAAGTCAGTTGAGTAACAGCTCGGCCCCCCCTTCAACTCGAAATAAATGCAGCGACCAAGAGGGCTTCAGAAACTAACGCACTAGCCAAAGCTAACCCAACCTAAGCCTGTGGCCAATCTGGCTTTCATTAGGGATGCCAGGAAGACTCAGGTTACATGAACGCTGAGTTGTTCTGAGTTTCAAGAATAACCAAGCAGAATAAAGAAATTAAATTTTGTGACGGGGGATATCAAAATGGTCAGAATTTAAAATTGTGAGACAGATCCTTCGCTCCAGTCTGACGGTGCACAGGGCCAGGGAAGCTGGCATAGGTGGCCACAGGGGTGGGGAGGGCATTCCGAGATTTTGGTAAGTGGTCAAGGTCTGTACATTTCTATGGAGGGGGTGCAGGGTCTGTGGCCCTGGGAGGGGGTATGGCTGCAGGAGAAGATTCTAACTGGGGAGAGGGTTGGAGACGTGGGTGCAGAGGGTTGGGGAATGGCCTGGGATTGAGGAGCAGCTAGCAGTGCAGGGTTGGGGAGAGGATGTGGGTGCAGGAGAGTATTCTGACCTGGGGCAGAGGTGGAGGGGTGCAGGATCTGGGAGGGAGTTGTGACCTGGGACGGGGTGGTGCAGCGGGTATGGGTGGTGACGTGGAAGAGGGAGTTGTGGTACTGAAGGGGCTGAGGTGCCAGACACAGGCTCTGGCTAAGAGGCGTTTATCTAGGCGGCTTCCGGCCAGCAGCTCAGCGGGACTCCCAGGCAGGCTCCCTGCCTGCTGCAGCACCAGGCCGCTCTGAGCATCGGGCTGCTGGGGCCATGTGCCTCTCTGTGCCGTGTGCCTAAGGAGGGAGACTTGTGCTGTTTGCAGCTGATGGGAGCTGAGAAGCTTGTGCTGGGGCTGGAGACAGCATGCAATCTTCCTCCCCCAAGTGAAGCACGGCACCTAGAGAATACACAGCCTGCGCAGCTGTCCACTTCCCTGCAGTCTGCGGCTGCAGCAGGCAATCTGCAAACCAAAGCCTTGGCGGGCTGGATCCAGCTCATGGATCCAGGGTTCCTCCGGGATGAAGGAATCCCTGGAAAGTGCTGTACTGGCTCCTGTGTCCCCTAGTGGAGACGTATGGTGGGGTGTAGCCAGAGCTCTGGCGAGCCTCCTAGGTCCATACAGACTTCCTGCAGCCATAGCCCCCGGGGCTGCTCTAAGATGTATTGGGGTCAGAGCTAGCACAGAGCTAGTGGAGGATCAGGGAACAAGGACCCATTGCTCCTGCTCAGTGTCACTCTTCTTTAGTCAAAATAAAGGAGGAACAAAAAGGCGGATGAGAAGTACCCCAGGAGCTAGCTGCTTAAACCAGTATCCCATCAAAGCCAGCACTGCACAGAGGGGAACCGTGCTGCTACATTTAACTGTGGGTGAGCAAACAGATTCAAGCAGAGAGAAGGCAAATATTCCTGGGAAATGGGAGACACATGAGAAGCTCACTGTACCTCAGATACCATGGTGATTGGCACCTTACGCTTCCCTACGTAGATAGTTGACACTGGTCCCTGCCTATGATCCAGCACCTCTCCTGGTATGCACAGCAAATACATTCACGATCCAGAAACCTCCTACCATGTTCCGTTTTTTTCAAAGTTTCCAAATTAGAAAAAGACACCATGGTGTAAAATCCTGGCCTCATCGACGTCAATGGCAACGTGGCCAGTAAATTGAGTATGGTTAGGATTTGGCCCCATAAATCCACAATTTTGGTCAATGGGTGGAAGTGTGGGGTTGGTAGCGAGGAACATCCTGCTAGCTTCATTTCCATGTGCGGTGGGGTTTGTGCTTTGCAGACTGGCTTGGCTCTAGCTTGGGCTAGAGTTCACATCTGCTTTTCCCAGACAGTTTACTTCTGTGACACGCAAATAGCCCTGTAGATAAGAACTAATAACACTGGGATTTAGCCAGCTGGGGTTCTCAACATGCCTTGAACATGTGGATATGGGGCACCTGCTCTGGATTCAGGCCCTGGTAAGAAAAGTCATTTGATTTAAGATGCTTTGCTGAGAACTTCAGCTTGTACCCTTTGCCCCGGTACTTTATTCTTATCCAATTGCTGTCGTTCCTTGTTCTGACCTGAGTCTCTCTAGCTCCCACATACGTTTTCCTGCCGTGAAGTTGTTCACACAGCAAAGATTCTTAGGCCTGTTCCAGAAGCAAGATGGGCCTGTACGGCCAATTCCCTTTCATGAGTTCTGAGCTTTCTCTAGTTGGTTAGATTCCGAAATCCTTTTGTCCTCATTCTGCTTGGATAATCTGTAACGTGCTCAACCCTAGGTGTAGGGTGCACCTGTGTGACTAGGGTGTGTGTGGGGGCATAACAGCTCTCCTCCCCCCATTTCTGGCCCTAATGAGCAGGATCGGTCTTTTCTAAAGAAATCCTTTTTCTGGGAAAGCACGCAATGAAATTATTCCTTGCCTTGCCTTGCCTTGCCTTGCCTTGCCAACTGCAAGCATTTTCCTTGGCACTTCTAACAGCACCTTGTGTCCATTATAAGAGACTGTCAGTGGGAGGAAAGAGAGAACCCTGCCCCCATTCCAGTACAAAGGGTCTAGGACACACAATAGGTCCAGATCTAGGAGATAAGGTCACAGTCACTTTAATCTGAAAGTTTTGCAGTGGGATTCTGTTCTAAGAAGTGAGCTCTGGAGTCTCTAGAAACCTTTTCTCAGCTGACCTATTCGTACTGATTAAGCCACACTGGTGTTTATGTACAACAATTTTTCTGTGAGAGAAATAACCAGGCTGCCACGAACCCGTGTTCCCCAGCAGGCACAACAGGCAAAATATTCTAATGCTGCCTTTAAGAAACAGAATGAAGGCTGCAGAGCTCCCAGCAGGGGGACACAGGGCCATTGAGAAGTTTCTGCAGATAATACACCTGCCCAGTGCAGGCTCTTCGCACAGATGTGGAATGGTTTGCATCACCTGCCTGGCACAGGCACAGAGAGCCTGGCACAACAACAGAGTCATGCTGACAGAATCGTGCTGTTTACACAATAGTGGGATTTATTTTTTCCTTTTAACAATAGGGGACTTCGATTTATCTGACTTCTTTGACACCCCACCGGAAACGACAACAAAACCGGGAAAGGCAACTACTAAACCCTATCCCAAGAAGCCAGGTAATATCGCGTTCCCTGAGGCTCTGTGTAGGAATGCATCCATGCCATCCCATTGTCCAGGATTCCTCGCTAGGCTCTGAATGAAGGACCTGCTTGTCAGTGTAACCATGAGAAGTCTTGCCTAATGGTTTGAGCACAGGATAGGGTGCCAGGAGACCTGGCTCGCACAAACAGCTTCTGTGTTATTGCTTAATTTGTAAAATGCTGCCATTAGAGCTCTATCTAGAAGGACTAGACCAGAGCTACTCAATGTTGGAAGCCTTGGCGGCCACAGTGATACTCACAGCACATGCTGAGGGCTGCAACTGAAGTGTGGTTGCATATATCAGGCACAGATGGGCATGAATACAAAAATTAAGGCAAACCTACACAACACGCAGGCCCCATTTAAGTCCGTCCTGCTGATATTAATAAAATGCAATAGTTACCCGATTTCCACCCATATGACAGCACTTTTACTGAGCAATGACAGTCCAGGAATTTATCTACTAAAACACATCTCAACAGAAGACCGTTATATTGACTACTTGTTTGTTTTGGTTTCCCACCTGTGAGCTGCAAACAAACAAGCCGTGGGCTGCGTGTTGAGTAGTCCTGAGCTAGAGAGACTTGTTTTAGTGTCTTTACAGTGCGTGATTGAGAGCTTCCCGCCTATTGAAACATCCTCACAAGAGAAACTTAGTAATGCATGGTATTAACCGTTGGATCATCTTTTTAAATAAGTGTGGTATTCCCTCCTCATTCTGCGGAAAGTAATGGATACTCCAGCACTGAATGCAGCTTGCATTAGAAACTGATCTCTACAGCTGGAGCTCCCAGCGGCTGGGCAGTTGCTCACACACCATAGAATCATTGTGCTCTGGGTGACAAAAGTGCACAGAACCCTCCTCTGGAGTTTAAAATGAGCCTTCCTTACCCCTTCCTAGCATTCATGGAAGAAGTGATGTGTGATACTCCGCAGTGTCCTCAAGCCTTAGCAATTTCAGCCACTGCAGATGGTGCTCTAATTGAGAGAGATATGCCAGCGTGTTCTGCCTCTGCGGGTATTGGAATGTAGCTCCGGAGAACAATTTGCAGGGAGAAGTGTGTGCAAACATCAGAGCACTAGAAGGGAGGGACCTGGTTTCCTAGCACAGGGCCATGCCTTGTTCTAAAACTCTTGGGGGAGATTTTGCCCACTCCTGCGGTCTGGTTGGGTTTCTTATAATGGCCCGGTAGACTTCTGTAATGTAACTTTGTTGTGGTCTTGTTCCTTCAGATGATATTAGCTTATGGGATGTGATCCACACCACCACCACCAAGAAGCCAAGAACCACCAAGGCCCCGCCCAAAAAGAATCCAGGTAAGTGCTTGTACTTGAGTGGCAATTAGGGCATCAAGAACCAGCTTAAAAGGAAGAGAAGCTAGCAGTGCACACACTGGAGAAGTGGGGCAAACCACAACCTCTTCCAGCACTCACCTTCTGCATCCCCTATCCCAACCCCTTTTATTTTCATCCGTTTTTATTTTGTTCACTCAGGAGTCTTGGAAAGTAGGGGGTCCGGTGTATCCATCTTTACCCTCTGGACAGACTGAGGTGGGCCTGGCTGGTAGCCTAAATGTCTTTTCTCTGGTAGCACTTGCTACTCGGGAAGAGTTTTACTTTTCATTTAAAAACAAAACCAGCAAATTGCGGACAGCGTGTGCAGCTGTGACGAAAACATTCCAAATGTGAAGCAGTCTGAGGAGCTGTCTCCAGTGCACCACTGAAGTCAGTGGAGATGTGCAAGTGATGCGATACCTGATTATGGCCGTAGTGAATTTAGTCCAGGATTCTAGACAGATAACCTGAAACATTATTGTTGCTGAGATTTGTGCCCATGTGTTTCAATGGTGTGTTGACTGTGATACCTAATGCAGCCCTCACTGTTTCACAGCTGATCATTTTTCCAGCTGTGGTGGGCAGAGTTTTGGTGATGTTGAATCTTGTTCTGCTTTGAGAGAGGAGTTTTACTTTCCGCCCGTGAAAGAGTCAATAAATTCAATTGGCTCGATTACATATCTGCAGTAATCATTTAATAAACATAGTAGGAGGCTGTTCTCTGTTTAAACTTAAATTCTCAGAATACACAGCTGTGTGTTTTACTTTATCCTTTTGATTTTTCCCCATTACTATTTCAGTCAGAAATGAAGAATCTCAGGAAAAATATTTCCTTTTCCTTTAAGGTGTCCTCCCCCGCGCGGCACACACACACACTTTATTTCCACACACTGAACACAGAGAATTGTCTCTTTCGTTCTGCCCTTTTCTCTCCTGCTTGATTTATAAGATTTCTTGGCATTTGATCCACTATGCAAGACAATTTCTGCAAGAAGAACATGACATTTATCACAACACCAGCAGGAGAGCACAAAACCAAATGAATTGCAAATATCTCCCATGATATTATATGTTTAAACTGAAGGGTGGGGGAGAGTCAGTTACTTCATCTTTCCCGTTGACACTGTCTGACAGGGTTGAGGATTTTCTTATGTAAGAAACTTTGTTAGCTCTGAGGACACATCTATACTTACCGCACTGGAGATCAATCTTCTGGCGTTTGATTTAGCAGGTCTAGTAAGGACCTGCTAAATCAAACGCTGAGGGTGTGCCTCGATTTGTGAGGAGTGAGGGAAATTGACAGGAATGTTTGCTGCTATTGATCTCTCCCACCGTGGAGACAGCGCTAAGCGTGCCTTAAGGTATGTCAACTCCAGCTACGTTATTTACGTAGCTACAGTTGCATACGTGAAGCCGACCTTCCAAGTGTAGTATAGCCCTGGCCTAAGGGGTTGGTTTTCAGTCTGTGTGTCAGGAACCCAAAATGGGTTACGACCCTGTTTTAATGGGTTACCAAGGCTTCTTAGACTTTCTGAGGCTAAAGTTGAAGCCTGAGACCCTAAGGGGTGTGGCTTAGGTTACAGGCTCCTTGCCTCGGATTGAAATCTTTGGGTTTCAGTTATGGCCCCCCTTTCTGCCCAGGGGCTCAGGCTTTGGCTCCCACTTCTGGGGCAGTGGGGCACGAGTGGGCTCAGGATTTGGTCATCTGTCCTTCGCCGTCATTGTGTAGTAATTTCTGTTGTCAGAAGGGGGTCATGTCACCATGAAGTTGGAGAACCCCTGGATTAGATTAATGAGTGTTGAATAAGAGCCAGGGAATGCTTGGTTAACCAGTTTGGTATTTTATAGCAAAGGATCCTATGGACTTTGACTTAGCCGATGCCTTAGATGATCAGAATGAAGGAAAAGGCGGTGGGAAGCCAAATGTAAAACCTGATAATGGTACGTACATGAACTTTCTTACTCTGCTCTAGATCCTGCAGCATCAGGCTGTCTCTTTCCTTATGACTCAGGGGAATGATAAACAGTGGGAAACAATAGCTGAGGCCCCTGGGATAGCACTTCCCTTTCAGACTTTTTCAGAGCGTAAGCTCTTCCTCTAACCCAGGGGTCTCAGACTCACGCCCATGAGCCATCTACAGCTCGGAGCATATTTGCAATCTGGCCTGGAGGACCAGGCAGCCTGGGAGTGGAAGGTGTGCCCATCCTCCAAGACCTGCCTCTTCTCATCACAACTCCGTCCTCTCCCCCCATTACATGACCTCCTTTAAGGGATGCAGCCCCGGGGATTACTGGGGGGGAGGGGCTGGCATGGGAGTCTGGGGGGAGTGAAGTGGAGTGAGTGCACGCGCCGGATCACCCAGGCTGGATTGCAAATATGCTCAGGCCCATAGATGGCCTACGGGGCTGTGAGTCTGAGACCCCTGTTCTAGCCAAATTTACAGCATTGCCCTGTCTTTCCTTTACACATGACAGGCCAAATTCTGCCCTGGGCCAGAGCATACAGCTCTCCCTGCTAGGGATGTAAAAGAATAGTCGATCAGTCCAGTTGACTACTCACATTACCCCCTCCCCTGCACTCCCTTTATATCAGGTGGCTCTTATTATATTTAAAAGGCAGAGCTGCAGCTGCAGTGGTCCAGACCCAGCGCGAGTCGGGACTGCTCCAACCCTGGCTCATGCCGGGTCCCAGACCTCCTCCTGCTGCTGCTCTGCAGTTTAAATATAGTAGTAGCCGGGCTGCCTGCATGCCCAGCTCCTAATACATTTAAACTGCAGAGCCGCAGTGGCCCCTTATCGACTAATCGTGTACTCGATACAAATTGTACTCCCCCAATACGATTAATCATTTACTCACTACTTAACATCCTTACTCCCTGCAGCTTCCCCCCATCTTTAGAGTGGCAGACACATAGGCCAGATAGGACTCTGCACATTTAGGGCTTTCTCCACTGAAATCAATGGATCAAGCCCATAAAGAGGAATGAGGAGGAAACATCTGTTATTGCAAGATTAAAGGGATACAATATATTTTGTATTGAAGGCCTGACCTAGTGTCTCCCTGGTTATTTACACATTGACGTACGTGTCCCCTAGTTGTACTTCTCATTATCCCTCTGACTAATAAGCTACTGGCAGTTCTGCTAGGTTCTCCATACACAATAGCTTAGGGTATATGCTCTTTGGCCTCCTGGTCATTACCAAGACAGAGAAATGTAGAGTGGTCCTAATTCCCAGCCCAGTATGGGCTGAGAGGCCTTTTTCCATTCCCAAAATATTACAGGTGGGAACTCGTTTGTATGGAATTATTTTTCCTTGAGCACAGATCTAGAAAAGACTTGCACAACTTTTGCATGGACTACACTGCTCTACAGCTTGTATAATTAATAATCAGATGTTACATTCGATGTTATTAGCTAGGTGACTTGCAAGTACTTTGCTGTCATGGTTTGTTGAAATCTATTAGACTTGTTCGGGAAAATCTAAAGAGTCAGCGTGTCGGTACCAAGTACCAAAACCTAGCTTCTCTCATAGTAATTTATACCCAATCTTGATGCGTTTTGTTCCAATTTACATTTTGGTCTCCATACAGTTTGCTAGTTTTGTTTTTAATCTAATTGCAAATCCTAAATCCATAAATGCTGTTTTCTGTGATCAGTTAATGAATAAAGAATCCTGTTCCAGGCTCGAAAGGTAAAGGTAACCCTTCAAGAGGTGGAAAAAAGGGTAAGGAGTCCTGTACTGGCTCTTTGCTTTTGTCAATCTTAGCTTTCTGGACCTGCTTTACTAAGCACTGAAAACTTCTTTTATTCTTCTTCTATTTGAAAAATAAATTGGGAATGTAATGGCTTGAATATCCACACTAGTTTTTCTATTAATTGAGGACTCTCTTGATATTTCTCTATTTCAATATTGCATGTATTAAACTTATTTTCTCAGAGATTCTCTCTTAGATACTTGTGCTAGAAATGTGTCCATGCACAGTGCTTCTGCTGGAGATCCTCCAATATGTATTTTGCACAGTGCTTCTGCTGGAGATCCTCCAATAATATGTATTTAAAAAAAAAAAGTCAAATGCAGTAGCATCTCCCTTTCAAAAAGACATGAAGCCAGATGTCCTTTTCTAACCCGTATCTTCTCAGTACAACAGAGGGGTGGGACTAGCAGGGAACTGGTTATGCTCTGCCCTGCACATGTGGTTAGAATAGCCATGGGGTTGCTCTAATCTATGTCACTTGACAGTGGTTTCAGCTGAGAACAGCAGCATTCCGTTAGTACTAGAATTGGGAGAGTGAAGCTCCCGCTTGCCAAAATAATGACTCCACCCCTTAGTCCTTAAATAAATGCCTAGAGCCTGTTGTAAGCTGTGGTGTTTTAAATGCTGCCCTTGTACACGCAGTACAGAACTCGTGACCACTTAAAAAGGCCCCATGCTTTTTCCATTAAACATTGTCTCATGATCTCCTTTTAAGCGACAGAGCGCAAACAAGCACGGAAGCTACGGCCTGCTTGAGGGAGAAAAAGGGTTTTTTGAACACTGCTGTGCCTGTGGATTGCAGTTTGGATGCTCAGTATGTGCTTGTAGTTTGCATAGTATGTCCTTAACAATTTGTGGAAACCAGCTGTTTTCCAGTTCCCATCTTGTCCTTGTCAGGCCTGGATTCACCAGGGGGATTTAGGCATTGTCATGCCGAACATGGCAGTGCTTAACTTGTAGGAACCCGGCCACCTAGTGGAAATCACAGCCGGTCTTCCCTGTGAGCTGAGCGCTTGGGCAGCTGTGCAGGAGAGATTTAAATGCCTCCCAGGTGATTAGCAGAGCATCCACAGTGCTCACAGCTGGCAGCATGTGTTTCTACTGGTGGTGCACATAAAATCATTCCTTGGTGCACATGAAAAAATTTATTCCATGCAGATGGAAAAAAATTAGAAGGAAAATTGATCACAACCCCAAATTAAGTACTATTGAAAGAATTCAAAGAAGCCAGCATGCTGAATGGGAGCTGCCTAAGGTAGCCAATAGGAAATGCTGGGGAGACGGCATAATGTTAAATGCTTAATGCGGGATTCACAGCCATGAACCCTCTCCTGGAGTCAGGCACCTGTCCACCAATGTCTTTTCACACAAACATGATGGCACCTCCCTTGTATTCCATAGTCCAGTGATCTAGCGCACTTCATTTGGGTGTGGGAGATCTGGATTCATGTCTTGTTTCTGTCTGGTTTGGAACAACAGGGATTTAAACGTTAACGTTGCATATCTCCTGGGCGTGTACACACACACACACACACACACACACACACACACACACACCCCGGCTGGATGAGGAAGCCGTTTCAGAGACAAACTTACAACTGATTTTTGAGAGTTTATGCGCCTCTCCTATGAGCACGATGCAGACTGAGTAAACCTGAAAGTGGGTTCCTTATTGCTCCACGGGGAACTTTTTCAATAGGCAATCAGGGGTTGCACAAGCCAGAATGGGGCTTGTGCGTCCGCTCAGGAGAGATTCCAGTGCTATCCAGCTGATTAGCAGAGCACCCACAGCTAAGGTTTTGTATTTCTACTGGTGGTGCACATTCACACATGCATTGATGCACATCACAACATTTATTTCACACAAAGGATGGAAAAAATATGCACGTGGATGGAAAAGATTAGAGGGAAGGTTGGTCCAGAGCCCATTGTGTGCCAGCTGACCTGAGTGCAATGAGGACGATGCCAATTGCTAAATGGAGAACTTCCTGAAGAGGCAAGGGTCTGACTTTTCTAGGAGCCGAGCATCGGCCTTGCCCACAAACAGCTGGTGCTCAAGACTTGTGCTAGGGCCTGAATCTAAAGTCCATTAAAATCAGTGCCATTGACGTCAGTAGGCTTTGGATTAGCCCCAAAATAAGGCCCTAGTGCTTAATTTGGATAAAGCCAATGAAAGGCACCAGGGAACAGATAGAGACATTGCTGAACTAATTCTTTTGGCAGACCAGCCTCTCTCTCCTTGCATGCTTTCCTCCCCCCCATGTCTTGTGGTTTCATACTAACCAGTATTAATATTTGCAGTTACTAGTTAAATGAGAAAATCAGCCCGTCTGAATACAGTGACGTACCAAACCCGAACCAGTACTGCATGACCCACCAATAGACCAACGGGCCTCTCTTAATCTGTGCCACTCCCGAACTTGGAGCACAGTGAGATGACAAGATGCTCACACAGATGGGTGCTCCTGTTGAATTCAGGATACTTGCAAGGTTCCATTCAGAAGACAGACTGTATTCAAATTGCATTGTCTGCACAGCTCAAATATGGCACTGAGTGACTAGCTGTGTGGTAGACGGTAGATTGGTAAGCAAGAGATACTCCTTTTTGTATGTCTCAGCAGATCCATCATTCCCAAAGCACCATGTGGGCACTGTCAGGGAAACAACATGACAGTGAGATACCCAATTGCTGATGCTCATCAGCTTCTCACCCTCTCCTACTCCATGTAAATCCAGCAGTGCCACTTGCAACCTTCTGGATGCTTTAGCAGAGAGTTTTCTGCCTGCCAGGGTTAGTAGAGGTCACTGAACAATCTGGTGAAAGGCCTTGAATATGCAACATATAGCAATGTCTGACTTACAGGAAGCCAGCTCATTTTCTTTGGTTGCTTTAGCATTTTCAGATGAGGACCTGGTCGGTGTTTTGGATGATGGGGACTACCATCCTGATAAGAAGAAAGGTAGGTCTTCACACTGTGCTGACCACGTCCACTGTTGTTGGGTTCTACCCCAAGCCAGAGAGCGCATGCTACTGGTTCTGGATCCTTGGCTCCCAGAAGAGCTAATGTGAAACTAAGAAATGTCCCTCAGGAGAAGAGTATCGGTTCTGGATCCTTGGCTCCCAGAAGAGCCAGTGTGAAACTAAGAAATGTCCCCCAGGAGAAGAGTATTATGGACATGGGGAAAGGCCCTGGCTAGCTCTGGTGAAGGGGGACATTAGCTGTATCCCAGCAAAGCCGAGGAGAGAGGAACGCAGGGTGTCTGCAGCCTTCATGGCCCCCGAGACCGGGGAAGTTGTAGGAATGCGAAGAGCAGACACCTATGCAGATGAATTTGTTCCCTTATTAGCACTACATCCCATATGGATTGCAGTACAGGAAGAAGAGCAGCTGTTCTGATCACAAAGCATCCTACCCTAAGCTTGTCCACACCTTTCTGGCATGATTCAAGAGTCTCTTTCTTCACATGAATCTCAGAATTACACACTGAGGCCTGGGAGGAGGAGTGTGGTAAGGAACAAACGTAAATTCCACTGGCAGGAGGGAGAAGACTTTTGGACGATTGGTTTCTTTAACTCCAAAACCAGGAGCAATTATTTTATGTTAATGGATAGTAAGCAAGCGTCTAAAAGTTGCATTTTACAAGATAGGGTGGTCGTTACTTGGGATTTTACTGTCAGGACCTGCTCTTGCTCCTATTGAAGTCAACATTCCTTAACGGCAGTGGGCGCTGGGTGAGGACTTACTTCATCAGTTAGGAAGTTCTAGGTTTTGGGCTTCACCTATGGGGAGGAAAGTCCTCTGAGGAATGAGCCAACTCCTAGTGTAGTCAAGGGCATGAGCCCCACTGCATTGGGAACTGGCTCAGGGAATTACCTTTCGTGATTAATATTTTGAAAATACGGACATTTTGCCTCTCATGGCAGAAAAGATAAAAGCTTTCCTTCACTACTGGTTCTTGAGGGTTAAGATGAATGCATTAGGCTTCATAGTTATTGAGATTCATAGTATTAATATTCAAAAAATGAACACCCCCAGCCCAATCAGTATTTCCCTGTGCTAAAGACAAGCGGCACTGGAGTAATTAATACTATGCTGACCCACTTCTGTAAATGCAAGTTTTATTTACAGTGCTTTGTTAACTGTAGATTTTGGAGGGAACTGTTTTACTCCTGATCCTCTTTCTCCCAGGAAAGCAGTTTTAAAAAATGTTTCAGGCTAAATAAAGATTCCTTGGCATTATGGAGCTTAGCTGCACATTTTTCTATTGACAATGCAAGTAGGTTGTGTGATTCTGTATAGCTTGTCAGTTATCGTTCCTTTATAGTCAGTGCTCAAAACATTGCTTAGCACAGGAATAGGGTATCGAGAGCTCCTCTGCCATACAGAAAGGGCTACCCACTTAAGACGGCTCCTCTGATAATATGTATGATGTCTTCACAACAAAAGCAAATAGAAAGGAGAGGCAGAGTCATCAAATCCCTGGAACAGATCCCACCTTATGGTGAAAGAATGAATAGGTCTGGCAAGCCAAGTTCTGGTTCTGAATACAGCTTGGGTACTTTTGTACAAAGTGCGTCTTGAATAAAGGTCACTGTATCACAGTTTGTAAAAGATGAAATAAAATAATAAGGAACATCCCCGTTGGGATTCTCTGCTGGAGTGAGTGAGAATTCTCCCCGGGATTCCTTCCTGGGCACTGAGTCTCGTCTCTGCTGTGGCTCTGATTGGAATAAGCGAATGTGAGAGTCGACTCGTTTGGGGCATGAGTGCTTCCTGCTAAAACACAGCTTGTCAAATCTCTGAGCAGCTGTTATGGGCTTAATTCTGCAAAGTGCTGAGCTCCCATTGGAAGCAGTGGGGCTGTAGGGTACTCAGACTTGTAGGACTAGATTCTGCTGAACGCCTCTGTGAGGGTATGTCTACACTACAGAGTATTTTCAGAAAAACGACCTTATATTCCGTCCACGCTGCAATCGCCTTCTTCCAAAAGAAAATTGAAAGAACAGAGGGGTTTTTCCAACATTGGTAATCCTCATTCTGTGGGGAAGAAGCCCTTTTCTGAAAAAGCTTTTTCAGAAGAAGGTGTGTGGACGGGGAAGAGGGAGTTCTTTTGAGAGAAGAGGCCTCCTGGAAAAAGCACAAAGCAAAGGGCCCCTGTTGGCCACTCCGCCCATAGTAATCACAGCCGAAATGCGAGAGAGCGTCCATTCAGTGGGGATGCTCTCTTTCGAAAAAGCAGATCGCTTTTTCGATGCGCTTTTGCAGTGTGGACTCTCTTTTCCGGAAGAAGTTTTTCCGAAAGATCTCTTGTGGCTGCATAGCTGCTGCCAGCTACTGTCAGCCTAATTTCTCTTTCTCGCTCATTCTTGGTCCTCCCCCCGCTTTTCCATTTTGTCTTTCTGTCCCAGTTTCTATTGCCTGCATATTTCGGGGGTTAGACTCCCCGGGAGACAGGGGGACCTTAAAGTGCTGGCCACTAAGGGCAGTCTGCACCACTAAAGTCACCCTAATTCACTTCCGTGTGCAGTTACCATGGTGATTGGATCACTTGTGTGTCTCCACACTTTGCTGCTTGTGTAGGCGGTGTGTCCCCTCACCAGGAGCGCTTGTACTGACAGCCCTGCCCACGTGGGGCATTGGGGGGTGGCTTCTGAAAGCCAGCCACAGTTTTGCTGTGTAGCCGCTCTGTGGAGGTGGAGAGAGTGAGACACATTCACAGGATCGAAAGTCTATTGTAGACGCTTACGGCGCTCAGTTGGCATAAGCCGTTTGTGACATTGTCGCAGAGCCCGGGGCATTGTCTGTTCCTCACAGCCGGCCACCCCGGAAGCAGGGGAGTTTTCAGCTCTAGGAGGTATTTGCAGTGCTGGTGGGGCTGCAGGGGCAGGCTGGAGGAGTCAGTCAGGGGATGGGGAGCAGAGCTGAGGCTTGGTGTGATGGACAGCATCACCGTTAGTTTGATTTCCCCCCTCCCCCCCCGACACCAACGAATGCAAATCGTCCGCCTCAGCCCTAACACCCCTCGTCTCTCTTGCAGGTGGTGGTGGCGGCGGCAGCAGTGACTATGATGCAGGTAGGTGGTGATGTGCAGAAGCCCAGCTCTGCTCAGCCCTAGGCCGACCCTGCTACCGCGGCACCTCTGAGTGACAGACGTGTGCGAATACCAGCCCCTGCCAGCCACACATCCCAGACCACAAGTCCTGGCCAACCCTGGAGTCTGCAGAAGAGCCTAGGTGGCCTGGGGGGAGGGAAGAGAACAGCTGGATCCCTGGAATAACTGTTCCAGACCTTGATCTGCGTGGAAGCATGACACGCATCCCTGCGTTTTGTAGGCACCACCGCCGAGACGGGGACAATCGCGGGGATAGCCAGCGCCCTCGCCATGGCGTTGATCGGCGCCGTGACCAGCTACATCTCCTACCAGCAAAAGAAGTTTTGCTTTAGCATACAACGTAAGTGGGTCACGCGTGCCGAGCAGAGCACACCGCCTGCTGGGGAAAGAGGAGGCGAGCCCCTCCGGGCACGGTCCTGAGCACCTCTCCCGAGGGTCCACGCAGGGGGCAGCAACCTCCCCCATGTTGTGCAAGAGGAGGGGGCAGCAGCCCCTGGGGAGAGCCCCCCCAGGGATTTGTGGGGGGGACAACTCCCCCCATGGAATCCTCAGAGAAATTAATCCCCCTTGGGGCTGCAGCAACCATGCTGTGGTACCCACCTCGCAGCTCCAGCCGCATTAGCTCATAGGAGCAGTGCTGCATGGCTGCGTCCCTAGCCGGGGGGGCCCAAATGTTTTCCAGCCGTGGGCTAAGTAGCTGAAAGAGCAAGGACTGCAGGGGAGGGCAACAGGCAGCATGAGAAGGTCTAGGCTGGAAGCAAACCTTTGGTGTGCGTAGTTGGCGGGATACAGCCTGGCCTCCACCACAATCTCTCTGTGGCAGGGCATGAGGAGCTGAGCTGCACCTTGGGAAGTGCAGGAACAAGAAGAAAGTCGGGGGACACCGGACTGGGATTTATTATTGTCTGAAATTAACCCTGTGGGGGCGGGGGAGAGGGAGATGCTTCCCTGCCCCATCAGCCTCCACCTGGCAGAGGAATATTGTCAGGATAAAGTATTCATTGGAACTTGAAAGAACTTGCGGGTGTCAGCTCTGGCCCTTGCAAGGGGCAGCTTTGTTCGGTCTCCCGCAGGAATTCTGGGTCTAAGGGGTTGGTTTTTTTCTTACAACAAACTGTTCAGATCTGCCATTTGATAAGGGGAAAAGCTCCTCCAGCAGCTACCCCCATCTGCAGTGCAGTGAGGGGACTCTGCTGCCCCTTGCCTCTGCACATGGAATTGTACAATGACAACACACACTCACACGCACACGCACCATGGACTGAGGAATAAGAAAGAGGAAATATAACTGGAGTTGAAAACTTAGGCCAAGAGAGGAGATACTGCAAGCGGCAGCTGATTCCAAAATGGCTCCTCTATATTCTGTCACATTTAAAGGACTTACCCCAGAAAGGCATGCTGGGAAAAAGTGCCAGCAAGAGGCCTGCAGTGGGGGTCCTACAGGATGTGGCTTTAACAATGTTGCATACTACACAATTACATTTAGTAGCCCCAGGGTCTTCCCCGCCCCAGGCATCTGTCTGTCGAGCTTAGCTGGAAAGATTGCCTTCTAAAATAAAAGATTCCACTGTTCCCATTGGTAAAATAACAAATGCAGCCATCCTGCCTGTATGAGCGACCCTACAACAACCAAGCAACGAGAAAGGAGCAGATTTAGGGGTTTACAGTTCAGCCACGTCTGTTTTCTGTAAAGCACCTTTGATAGTGAGCACTTCACCGCAGGAGACCCTGAACCTGTTCAGTCACCTGGACAGACTCCTTTGATTGTGCACCTTCGCTAACACGGTGGTAGAGTTGTCATCACAGCAGCGAGGGACACAGTGAGGTGCAGCCGATGGGGGAGGGCAGAAGAGTAAGACGAACTCGGAGATGAGGTTTGGCAAGAAGCTCTTGCTGTCCAGAGGGCAGGTGCTGCATAGCGAATGGCTGTTGTGCCAAGCTCAGCCAGCTTGTGGGGAGGGGCTCGCATTGCACAGGTGGAGGAAGGAGGGGAGACCAGGCCGTTGAGAGCCTGGGGAGGTCCATGGGGGACAGTGAAACACAAAGAGGAGGATTCTGAAAGGGAGGCAGCGGTCACAGGCAGGGCAGGCGAGCTCCGTTGCATGAGAGATGGAGGAATGGGAGCTGGTAAAGGAAGAAGTTGCAGAATCCGTGGCAAGGCAGCTGTTCTCAAACCCTTCCATCATGTGGGTCATGAGAGTGGGCGTCTTATGGACACCTCCGGCCCCTGGTCCACTCTCTCTCCCACTCCCTGGCGTGTAACATCCCTGCGGCAGCCACAGCAGGTGCGTCTGTGTGGGATGTGCAGGGGAAAATGCTGGTTGTAGTTTTCGTAGCTGTCTTTAATGCTGTGTAGCAACTGGGCAAAGACGAGCTAATTCAGGGCTGACATTTGAACACCGGTGGTCTGGAAAGCACAGGACGGGATGCTCTGGTGCAGGGTTTCCAAGGAGTTGTTATAAACAGCTAGAAAAGCTAATTTAAAATTAATCAACTAAAAATCCCTTGAGCGTCTCCCTCACTATTGGGGCAGAAACTTACACTGAAACGCTGCAATTTTGCTGGCTGCGGCTGCGACAAGCAGGTAAGAGTCGAATGAATGTGATAGACTAAAATGCCCTTGTATGTTCCCCCCCATTTAAATGATATTTTGGAAAGAATAAATAATTTTAAAAAAGGCTTTGATAAAAGGGAAGCCGAAAGAAGCAAAGCCCAGAAAGGCAGCAGGAAATTAAAGTTAATTATAAAGGAGGATTAATTTAAGCCATCAGACATGGCATGCTGGGATAATGTCAGGCCTTAGCTGCATTGCATTGCATGACAGAAATCCGAGAGCAGTCAGCAGCCGCAGAACTGGCTTTTTATTGAAAAACATAAATTGTGTTTGGTGTTATCCCAGCAAAACACATGTGGTGGGAGAGGCTGCTGTGTTATGGAATGACCGTGCGCTGGTAGCACAAAGGCACACTTGGCTCTTTCTGTGTCTCTCTCCCAGTCTGTCCAAAGGCGAAGGTATAGGGCTCAGTTTGCATTTTGGAGCTCACTTGGGGTGTCTACACAGCACAGTTATTTCGAAATAACAATGCGAGCGCCTACACAGCAATTCTGTTATTTCCAAATAATTCAAAATAACAGATGGCTCATTTTGACTTTTGTAACCTCATTCTGCGAGGAATAACACCTCTTCCGACATAGCTATTTCAAAATAGCTCATCCCCAGAGCCATTCAGCTCGTTATTCTCCAGTGCCTCCTGGCGCTCTAATTCGAGGCAGCACATCCACATTAGGGAAGTCTACCTTGGACTAATTTTGAGGCTTCCCTGTAGTGCAGACATGCTATTTCGAAATAAGCCATTTTGGAAAAAAAAATCTGAAATAGCTTATTTTGAAATAAGCGTGCTGGGTAGACGTAACATACCCTTAGACTGAATATTCATGCACTCTTCCCAGTTTTCTCCGTATCCTTTATGCCTCTGGGCATGTCTACACAGGGGAGCTATTTCAAAATGACAAGGCGAGGTCCACACTATCAAGCCTGTTATTTCAAAAGAAAGGGCTCGTTATTTCAATATAGTAACTGCCGCTTCTGAAGAGGAGTAAGCTTATTTTGAAATAGTTACTTTGGGAGTTATTTCAAAATAACTTATTGCAAAATAACCTTGTAGTGTAGACATGGCCTCTCTGTCCTGAAATAGTCATCACCTTGGTATCATGGAGCATCAAGATGAACTAGTGGGGTTCTGACAGGACCTAGTCAAGCAGAACCAAGTCAGTACGTCTGTGCCTGAGCTGTTACAGGGGAGAATGCCAGACGTGCTGGCTACACTTACGGAAAGGAGACTTAAGCGTAAGGCTGGGAATTTCAAAGCAGCCTAAGGGAATTAGGTGCCGTACTGCCAGTGGGAGCTGGGCACCCGTCTCCATTAGAAAGTGCCCCTGCATTGTTAGCATCGCCCTCACCATTTGGAGCAAGGCCTTTCTTTTGCCAGCCAGCATGTTGCACTTGTGTACGGCGACTGGGCCTGAAGCAGAGAGAACCGGCAACACCCATTGAAGCAAATAAGGGGAGAGAAAGATGCTCTGCACTTTCAGACTCTTATGTCCCTGCCCCAGCTCCCGTGTGAATTGGTTTTCTAGCGAGTTGCACTAAGAGCAGGAAATACATTACACGCCTGGTCAGAGGGGCTCAGAATGTGTCCCATGCCTTGTGCCTCCCAAGACGCCCTGTCAGTCAGTGGCTGCTACTTGCCAAGTACACCAGGGCATACAGGTTTATTAATTGGCCCAAGGGCAGCCTGCAAGCTCGTGGTAGGTAGATCAAGGAAGAGAAGTGTGCAGGAGGCCTGTTTCCCAAACCTCTGCTGTGAGCAGCAAGCGAATGCCCACTGCTCACCCACAGGAGCTGTTAGGTGGCTGTTTGGGTGGGTCGTGGCTTTCGCTGTATCTCACCTCACCATTGTGTTACTCGGAAGCCCTCCTGCACCAGCAGAGGAGAAAATGTCGGCTTTGCGGGCAGCTGTTGGGCCCCTTTCCTACAACTTGTATCTCGCACCCTGCCTCCCAACAGCATTAATAGACCCACCCCACAGATGTAACAGGGCCAGCGTGCCTTAGGGGCCTGTCATCATGTGACAAGTAAATCACACAAGTGACCAGCCATGCGGTTTGGCAGCTGCTGTATCTTCCTTAGTGCCAGGCCAGGCAGCAGGGCCCATCTTACGCGTCACTGTAGTGCATTTTGGCCTTCTCATCCCTTCAGCTTTTTAGCCATATGGCCTTTCACCTCCTTTGAACAGGCTGTAGCTTAACAGGTGCAGGGGATAATCATGGGTCTCCTGCTGCATTTGTCCATGCAGCCTGCTCAGTGAGTGAGCAAAGTAAGAGCCCCATTTTGTACATGGAGAATTGAGGCAGAGAGAGATTTGGGCACATGAGTTCAGTGTGCTGCAGGTGCCTTCCCCCTCACATAGAGAGAGCTCATCCTCAAACCCAGCTCCGCTTGGACCAGGCCTGCGCCTTTACCATAAAACCACCCAGCCCTCAGCTGGGACAAAAGCCTAACTCAGAGGTACTTGCCAGGCAGCCTCTGACGTCTGCCCTGCACCGGGGCAGAACAGGGCAGTGTGGGCTTGAACCATTAACCCTGCTCTGCCTGTGCCGCCGGGAGTGTTTAACTTGATCGCTAACAGCAGACACGGAAATGGTTTTGTGGAGCCCGTCCCCTGCAGCGATCGCTTTCTGCCTAGATCGCCTGCTGCCTCGAGCTGGTCTTAGCTATTTGATTGGGCCGGGCATGCGGCCTGGGAATAGAAGTAGGCCAATACAGCTTCATCTTCCCCATGCAGTGTCCCACGGGCCCCCAGAATCTGCTTTTCCCAAAATGCCAACGCTCTGTGCTCTGCTGGCCTTGGTTGGCAGGGTTGCTAACCCTGGTGTGGATTGAGCCATTGTTAAACAGTAGCCCGGGCCTGCTGTTCACTTTCAACACAGCTGCTCTTTGCTTTGAAATGCCTCAGGCCAAGTCTACAATGACACACCAGAGAGCGATCGGTGGGCATTGGATGTAGCCAGTGGGGCTCGTTAAGCCCCGCTAAATCAAATGCTGAGGGCGGCTCTGGTTGAGGCCAGTCCTCCTCACAGTCGCAAGGAGTAAGGGAGCACTCCCGGTGGCGTCCCAGTGGGAAGCTGGCGCCATGCTCGAGTGGCACTCTGTAAGCCAACCTGATGTGTCTTGTGTAGACCTGGTCTCAGCCATGGCTAGCAGGCCCCGTTGAATTATTTTCCTACGGAGCATCGCAGGGGCGTTAGCCAGTGTCAGTGACATGGGCCATGTTGTACCACAGCGTGACAGGCGTAGATCCCGTTTAAGTGAACAGTGCGGAGTGGCAGCCCCAAGCACCTTGTTTTTACAACACCCCATTTCCAGCCAGGTGGGCTCCATCAGCCCCCTGCTGCCTTCCGGGAGCAGATGGCTTTCTGGCCTGTGCTGCCTAGTGGCCATACCACTGGCGCGCTGCCACCGCGTACTGGGAGGAAGGCTGGCCAACTTGTCAGCATACCTATGGGTCGCGGGTTCTGCCTACTGTTCAGAAGCAGCATTACAGGCTGCTCCCAGCCTAAGTCAGGCCGTGCCCACGTGGTGCACGGACACAGGCGGCAGCAGGGCGGGTTACACGGCGGGTGCGAGTGCCAGGCGCGGTGCCGTGGGGAGTTCTTTTCCGGAGAGGCGGTGCCCTGTGGTAAGACTCGTGTGTTTGTTGTTCAAAGCTGCAGAGGGGCAAGGTAACGTTGGCCTTGCATTTCCGCCCACTTTGCTTTCCCGCTTAAGCCGTGAAACCCTTGTTCTACTGCCTGTTCCTCTCCCTTCCTTCCTGCCCAGCACTCCCCCAGGGAGCATGTTTGGTGGAGTGTCCTCCACGGCAGCTCTGCTCCCAGTGCAAGCCCCCGCAGCGGGACTCACTGTTCAGCTGCAGTGGGGCTGGTGCAGCACTCTTCTGGCCTGTGCCTGCCCTGAGCTTGTGTAGAGCAGAAAAGTAAATCAACTGCCTGAGTGCAACAGATGGGGGGGTGAGGGGAAGGCCCACAAGAGCATAGAGGCCTGACTGAAAGGATAGGCATGCCCCGTGGCCCAGAGATGAGCAGCACGAGGTGGGCGGCTGAGCACTGATAGCAGCTCGCCCCTTGCAAGGGACAGGTACAACGTGTGCATGTACCCACGTGCGTGCTGAAGACCCAGCCCTGTGCCGCAGAATGACAACGCCTAAGAAAACTCGCTGGTAAACGTTTGGACGCCGGGGGTAGTTCTGTGCTGGTATTTGAAGGGGCTGGGTTAGTGGAGCCCTAAGACACTGCAGGTAGGTGCTGCAGCGCTGATGCCCTCAAGCACTGTGTATAGCGGCAAAGATTCTGACGGGCCTGGTGGGGGTGGCTGGCGGCCCTGCTCTGTACCGCTAGCCAGTGGAAATCAGGAGATCCTGGGCCAGATGGGTGCAGCTGAACCCAGCTCCACAGACGCCAAGGCCAGTTCAGTGCTTGCGGCCAATGGTCTGTTTATTCGCAACCCTGATTGGCTTCACCCTAGCTCAGCTCCCAGCCTGGCATGAGGTGCTACTAAAAGGAGGAGCTGAATCAGGCCTGCATTTGCCTTACTAATTGCTGCACACTTTGGAGGCTTCTTTTTTTGCATTTAAAGCTCTAACTAGTACACATTTGGGGACCTCTGTGTGATGTTTTTGCCGCAAACAGGCTTGCTCAAAACTGCTTTTCCCCACACCTCGGTAAGATACCGCTGCATAAGTTAGTATTTGGTGAGAAATAGACTGTATATGGCTGTTGAGAAGGTGCCCTTGCTGTATGGAAACTGTTTAATGATCACACCTTTTTCGTGCAGTTTTATTTAGCTCTCGCCCTGTTAGTGTGGAGGGTGGTCTCATGTAGTTGTTGCATGTCTTTACCTTGCACATAGTCAGAGAAAAGGAATAGTGTTAGAAGTTACACCTTCTGAACAAGGATATATGGTATCTTGCAAAGCCTGTCAACCTTTGCAAGGTACAGTGTTCTCTGATGTTTTCCGATAGTCATCTGTTGTGCCACTAGCCCATTGGAGGCTGGGAAGAGGGCGTTTTTAGTTACGCAGCTGACACACTTCATTACTGACAATTCTGCAAAAGTCTTCATAAAAATCTTTACGGTCTCCTTCCCTATCTGACTCGCTTTATCATCGCTTCACAGAGGGGCTTAATGCGGAATATGTGAAAGGAGAAAACACAGAAGCTGTTGTAACTGAAGAGCCTCAAGGTGAGTGGTTTTTTGGCACCCCTGGGGTTTTTTTTCACAACTTCTGCTAAACATCAGTACGTGCGTCCCATTGTAAGTGTCACACGCGGCTTCCAGGCCTGCCTCTCTCGAGTAAGCAAGTCATAGCATTGATGTATCTCAGGGGTGGCCAACCCACGGCTTGCTTAGCCTCCCCCGCAGCTCATGAAGCCACCCCATGCGCCCCTACAAATGGCCCCAGTTCCCTGAACCCGGTGAGCACAGCTGGCGGGAGCCTGAAGGGGAGGCCTTTTTTGGGGGAGGAGGTTCTAGGGGTGCGGCGGCTCAATTCTGGTGCGGCTCTTTGTATTTTTTCCACCACTGTTTCGGCTCTCTTCATGTAATGGGTTGGCCACCCTGATATAACTGATGGCATTGCCACTTTTCATACCACAGCCACAGCGGCACTGGCTCACTTACTGCACACACAAAAGAGACTTGTAAATCCAGAGGCCTTGGAGCTGGATCTTGCAAAAAACGGGCTGTAATACTTTGCCATAAGACTTGTCAGCAATGGCTCTTAAATTACTTGCTGAAAGGAGGTCATCAGCTGTGTTTTAGAGATGGGAAAACATAGGTGCAGAGATGAAAGGATTTTCCCAAGGCCACTGAGCACCTCCCACCATCATGCCCCACTTGACTAGTATTTTAGGACTTTTAATTCTTTGTTGTATTCTTTTTCCTCTCCCTCCCCAGTTAAATATTCGGTCTTAGAAACACAGTCAGCCGAGCCGCCGCAGCCACCACAAGACAACGCGAAGGTCTAGTGCATGGCCTTGGACTGGAAGAGCGCTAGCAGCAGACACACACAAACCATTTCACATGCTTGTAATTCAGCTTTTAATTTAATTTGGATCCAAGCTATTTAATGTGTATTTAGACTAGACGTGGCTTCTTGTTGATACAAGCTGTAGGGCTAGAATGTCAGTGTCTTTTTTTGTTTTTGTAAAGAGTTGTATGTTTACATGGAATTTAATAATGTAGGATTGATATCAAGTTGTATACAAAACCACAAGAGGTGCTTCAATAGCCTTCCAAGCTACATGTAGGATTTTCACTTGCGGGACAAGCAGCTGGGATAATGTCTTTTTCAAAGAGTGCCAGAGCATGCAGGTGTGAGGATGACAAAGTGCCTGTAAAATAACGCTCCAAAGCAAACCATGCGAGAACCTTTGTAAATCACTTCCAGCCAATTTCTGCCATCAGCTATGAGCCTGCACAGGCCAGTGTCAGCAGTGAAAATTGTGTGTGCAGCCAGCTGATTGTGGATTTTGCTCTTTAGAGTAACAGACATAAGAAGTGCGTGCCTCTGGCTAGGTCCTGGGAGATGACAAATGCCTTTGCTCATTGGAGGCTTTGAGTTGAGGATGCACGTCATGCTAGACTTCTACTCACAGGCAAGGGCCTGATTTTGATACCAGATAATGATACCGCTAATTGAAGTCCATGCCCTGTGGGATTTTGGCAGGTAAAGCTGTCATACGTGGCTGCATCTGATACCGGCCCTTGAGCCTTGACTTCCAGCATTTGGCTGTGACAACACAAACGTCTACCTTGTGAGATTAACTGAAAACTGTGGACATCTGCATGGAACTAGGGACATGTTCAGATTTCAGAGTCGCTTGAATTCAGAGAGAAGTTAAAACTGAGCGAGTTTGGGAAGTGACTTGCATGGGGCCGTGCCTGTAGGTATGTCTATAAGCCTAGGTATGTTTTTGTGTAACTGACTATACATGTTTTGCAGCAGCTGTACAATTCCTTATGCTCTGTTGGTTTTTGACACATGCATTTAAAAGCCTTATAATAGCTTTAAAGGCAGAAATACATTTGTTTTATGAATGTATTTGGATTACAAAACAAAACGTAATAAGCTATTTCCAAAGTTCTCGTGTAACCATTGGCTTCTGTGGAACCGGAGCAGGGAAAATAGACCAGGAATACAGTATTCATACTTGCTTAGGGCTTGTCTTCACTACATTGATGCTGCAGGGACATACACTGACAGGCGATTTAGCACGTCTGTTTAGATGCAATAAATAGGTGGGAGAGCAGCTTCCCTGCCAACCTTACTGTGCGGAAGACACTGGGAGAAGAGCAGCGACGTAGATTAGATAGAACAGGAATGTGGGAGTAATATAGACCAGGGCTCAGATATCCTAGACTTTTTATGAAGGTGGAAGTGTGGTGGTTTGCAGAATTTTGAAGAGCACATAAAGAAACCAACATGCTAGCGAAGCCACAAAGTTGAATTCATGTGACTGTATATTTCCAAACAAACACCGTAGTTTGTTTCTTAGCCGACCATGTGTAGTGTAAAATCATTTTTAGATAAATATTGGAGATCAAGGTTAGCATATGGCCCCGGTACAGCACTAGGAGCCATTTCTTGGGTAGATCAAGTGAACGTAATTCCATATTTCATTGTTGCCGATGAAAGAAAGTGTTCAAGTGGGTATAGATTGTCAATTTTTGTTGCATTTCTGTTACTGCACTGTGACAAGATTCAGAGGGGTAGTTGGGTTAGTCTGTTTCAGCAAAAACTACAAAGAGCCCTGCAGTACCTAAGGGTATATCTACACTAGCTCTAAATAAACGTGTTAGTCTTTAAGGGTATGTCTACACTAACTCTCTAGTTCGAACTAGGGTGGCTAATGTAGTCATTCGAACTTGCAAATGAAGCCCGGGATTAAAATATCCCGGGCGCCGCCATTTTTAAATGCCCGGTAGTTCGAACTCCCTGTCCACGGCTACACGCGGCACGGGCCAGGTAGTTCGAACTAAAGCCCCTAAGTTGGACTACCATTACTCCTCATTGCAGGAGGAGTAACGGTAGTCCGAATTAGGGGCTTTAGTTCGAATTACCTAGCCCTATCTGCTGGCAGGGAGTTCGAACTACCGGGCATTTAAAAATGGCTGTGCCCGGGAACATGCAAATAAAGCCAGGGATATTTTAATCCCGGGCTTCATTTGCAAGTTCGAATGACTACATTAGCCACCCTAGTTCGAACTAGAGAGTTAGTGTAGACATACCCTTAAAGACTAACACGTTTATTTGGGCATGAGCATTTGTGGGTTTATGCCCAAATAAATGTCTTAGTCTCTAACATGCCATAGGACTCATTATTATTGCACTGTACAGTCACTGTGGCTACTGTCCAGTGGATTGGCATGTTCAAGATTTGCTTACTTTAGCACAGATCACTTAACCCTTGCAGGGAGTGTTGAAAACTAGAACATTTGAGACATGGAAATCACTAACAGATATTGCCATTTTTTATTGCAAAATCATTTAGCTGAGAATACCAGATTTTAGAACTGAGAATACCAGATTTTAGCCCAGAAGCTATTTCTGCCTCCCTCCCCCCAGTCTTTTCTACGATTCTGGTAACCAATTATGCCTTACTTAATGTATAGTTACAATATTAAGAAAAGTACAGATATACTCAGCAGAAATCCTGTTCCAAGTTTACAATAGCATAATGTGGAGTGCAGGAGAAGCAACTACTGAGTGTATTGCATTAAAAAAAAAAAAAGTGAGATTTATCCACAGACTTACCTTCAAAAAGGTTAGTAAATTGGACAGAAAAATCCAAACAAATCTAGGACTATGACAATGTATTAAATATTAAACTAAAGTACAATTACTCTGGTTTTTGTGGCATTTTTTTGTCTCCCCATTCTTTGTCATTTGAGTGTCTGTGCAATCTCAGGAGGGACATACACCTTTTTTTGTCTTCTTGTACGGTATCTAGACTAATTCTTAGTTGTAACTTCTCAGTAGCAGCGCAAGTTGGCTGTGTCTAGACTGGCCAGTTTTTCCGGAAAATCAGCCGCTTTTCCGGAAAAACTTGCCGTCTACTCTGGCCACTTGAATTTCCGCAAAAGCACTGACTTCCTACTGTAAGAAATCAGTGCTTTTTGCGGAAATACTATGCTGCTCCCGTTCGGGCAAAAGTCCCTTTTGCGCAAAAGGGCCAGTGTAGACAGCTGAGATTTCTTTTGCGCAAAAAAGCCCGGATCGCGAAAATGGCGATCGGGGCTTTTTTGCGCAAAAGCGCGTCTAGATTGGCCATGGACGCTTTTCCACAAAAAGTGCTTTTGCGGAAAAGCGTCTGTGCCAATCTAGACGCTCTTTTCTGAAAATGCTTTTAACGGAAAACTTTTCCGTTAAAAGCATTTCCGGAAAATCATGCCAATCTAGATGTAGCTGTTATGTTTTACTCTGTGCTCCAAGGGAATTTGATAGGGCTGTTACTTCTCTCCTAAAGACCCTCATATTTAGAAATAGGTGACAAAAAAAGAATCCCTGTATTGAAACTGCGTACATTATCTCAGATAGTCCCCTTTAAAGTATCCGGGGGGTGGGGTGCGATAGCTGCAAGTCAAAAGTGGTAGGATACAGGACAAATGACACACAATCCAATGCTAAGTGAAATGAATGAAAGTCGCAGAGGGGTGGCCGTGTTAGTCTGTAACTGGAAAAAAACAAAAAACAATGAATGGGCCTGCAGCATCTTAGAGACTAACAAAAAAGTAGGAGCTTTCATGGGCACAACCCGCTTCTTCAGATGAATGGAGTAAGGGGTCCAAAGGCACAAATAAATAGCAGAAAAAGAGGAGGGGATGGGGAGGGAAAGGAGGAAAAAATATTTTCAATTAGCGTGCCTGTGCCTAACGCTACCTGTTTTGTTAGTCTCTAAGGAGCTGAAATGAATTAACTTAGTCCAAAATATAGGCAAGCCCCTGCTACAAGCTTATATACCCCTGTGCTGTGGACATGCACTCAGCCTACCCTAATTTTGTAAGTTAGTTGAGATCACTTATAATTACAGAAAAATCAAATCGTTTTCTGTACATACATGAAATAGATCCTTGATAAGAAATCGTCACAAGTCAAAGTTTTAGCTTGTTACTATATTTTAATGACTTCTGGGGTTTTTTGGTAAAGCTGTAGCTGTCTTTTCAAACCAGAAAATTGTCACATTGTTTTTCACTTGACACTTTTTACTGCACCATCGGAAGGTCTATTAAATAACATTTTCATATAACCCAGTATAATTAGTGACTTATTTGTTGTAGTAAAAGTAGAATTAGTCCATGAAAAGAACCATTTAAAATGAAGAAAAATGCTAAGATCTGAAGTGGAAAGACAGCATTAGTTGCTAAAAATTGCTCTGAGACAAATGTTCAAAAACAGCATGGATGAAATTAGATAGAGTAAACAATTTATTTGAATGAAATCTTCATTTAAAAGCAGGGCATACAGTTTACAAGGCAGAATTGATCTGTACCAAATTTAATTTGTGTATTACACTGTGAAAAAGTGGACTCATTTTGCTAATGTGCATATAAGGATTATAGGGAAAATCGGAATTTGATAGCTGAACTACCATTGGAAAATCATGAATAAAAACAGACTGACTCATACAGTGACATTTGGTATTGTGTGTTTTCTTTGCGTGTGTTTGACAAAGGGTGGAGGAATATTTTTAATTGTATCTGCGTGCGCGCGCGCACACACACACACACACACACACACACACACACACACAGCCCTACTAAAGTTACCTCAATTATTTTTAATCACATTAAGAGAAGAGTATTGGCTTGCTGAGAATTTTTCTTGAAAATTTGCAAGTAAGGATATTGCCAAGAATGGAAAAGTTTATAACAGAACTAATAACCTTAACTCTGTCCCATCCCAAACCACTGATCAACTCAGTGTAGCCAATTTGGAATCCAAGGTATGTCTACACTTGCACCCTCTTTCGAGAGACGGATGCAAATGCAGCTGAGTGAAATGGTAAATGAAGCGCCGATTTGAATTTCCTGTGCTTCATTTGCGTAAGTGCGGACCACCGCTATTTCGAAATAAACACTGTGTAGACATGGTTATTTCAGGAGAAAACCCTTCTTCCGAAATAATCCTTGTTCCTCATACAAGGTTTACCGGTTATTTCGGAAGACGGGATTTCTCCCGAAATAACCATGTCTACACAGCATTTGTTATTTCGAAATAGGGCATTTCTAAATAGCGGCAGTACGTGATTATGTAAATGAAGTGCAAGAAATTCAAATCTGCGCTTCATTTACAATTTCACTCAGCTGCATTTGCATCCCTCTTTCGAAAGAGGGTGCAAGTGTAGACCTACCCCCCGAGTTTTCTAGTAATCCAAAGAATTCTGAAATATATTGCTCTGGATTTGTTCCTCCGTGGGTGAAATTCCCCTGCAATGGTGATTTATAAACTTAAGATTTTGGCCCCAGATGTTGTGACTCAGCATGTTGCCCATTTTAAAATTGATACTACTTGGTGCTGACTAGTTTTTGATGTAGAACAGTAAAAATCTCATTCTCCCTGACAAATGCAGGTGATTAGATAAGCAGGAGAATTTTGGTATTTTAGTTTTAAGGTTATGCGTATAAAAAATAGAGTGTACCCTTTTCTGCTTTTTAACACTTTTTATACAAAAGTTTGTGAGTACACACATAATTTTCACAGTGTGCCTTACCTGTTCTGCTGGATGCCTTTCTAGAATTCAACTGTGGACTGGGAGATTTCTTAGGTCTTATTTTCACCTGGCAGTGTCACTCATTTTGATTAACTATAGCATGCCAAAGTCTAGTTTTATTAAAAAAAATTAAGAGTAAACATAAACATGTCTCATATCAGCCTTAATTCCTTGACAAGGGGATAGGGTTTAACAATGGGGAGGAGTGCTCTGGGAACAGTTGGACACAATTATATTTACCAGTTTAGTAAAAATGAAGTGTGGTTTTGGGCTTTGTTTTTTTAAACTGAATTACATTTAACCAATCAGAGGGAAATAGATTTCATTTGAAACGTCATTCAGCTCTGAAATGTGACTTCTGTGTTTTGTTCCGGCACCTTAAAACAGTTGGTGAGTTTAGGTTTAACTACCAATGCTTCAGACCCAGGCTGGGATCTCTGACACGTTGTCAAATCTGCCTCAGTTTGTACATGCTTCCTTTGTCTGCAGGAGATTTGTCCAGGTAGAACAGAGGACAGATTCTGAACGTCCAGCTACTGGAACATAGTTAACAATTCCACTGAAGATGCATCAGTCAGAACAGAACTTTGCTCCCGCTCACAGAATGGCGTTGCCACTGCTGTTTTTACAGGAGTAAAGAGTAATAATTTTTTCACTGAATAGGATAAGATGCTGAATACTCACAGGGAGCAGAGCTGAGCGATCATTTTACTTCACATTCCAGAGTAAAAAACCAAAGAAGTATCTTTGTCAATATCTATTGAGTGCGCGTCAGTTTTGCTTATTACTCCCCATTATATCAGGATGATCCCTCAGATGCTATTCTTGAAATGACAGGGTCACTTGGGCATGTTGAGACCTGTGGCACGTATAGACTATTTCTAGGGACGAGTGACACTTTTCTGTATAATAATGAATCCATGCATTGTAGCTGAGCATAGAGAGTTTAATAGCTGAAAGTGCTACACTTATTCCAACTATCCCTTTTACAGTTACTGTGGCGCACAATCTTTTCAGATCACTAGTGCTAACAAATAACAAATTTCAAATTACTTTCTCTAGGTTTCA